AAAACAAAATTCACTGTGGTGGTTTTTTTGAACATTTAGAAGGTGTGAGGTTGTAGAAATAAATTTCAATATACTGCCTGTGATTCACTTTCTGAATGATGAGAAGAAATTTGTATTAACAAGGTATATGTATCTATTCTCTTTAAAGAAATGGCCAGTCCTGCTTACCTAGCACACTTGCTATTTTATTGATTGATTGCTATCGAAGTTTACACTCATTGTCATTTATGCCACTAATTTTTGAATGTTTCATTTACTTAACTGAATTTTAAAACTCAATGCAGTTATAATAACATCTTAATCAATCACTTATTTTTAACATAAAATTATAGGTAGTATTTACATTCTATTAGATTTATCTAATATTTTAGCCATTATTCCACTTGACCATGAATATCACAAGTGGCAGTTACATCGCTAGACTGGCAAAATTACTGTCACTATACTTTCTATGGGGTGGACTGACATGGTGGTGTAACTGAAACTATGAATGTCTTGATGTCTCAAAACTGAGGGTCAACAACTTGCTAACATTTAGGGGTTCATAGTATTTCCAACAATGCCTTGAAGGCCTAAACTTAAAATTTTGTTGTGGAAAACTCGTATTTCATAAAGCTTAGGGCATGTTTAAGTCCCCCATTTTTTTTTTTTTTTTAAATGATGCATTTTGGAATAGTATTTTTGTAGGGAAAAATTTTGAATTTGCGTGTAATATAAAAATAAGAGAGAAAAATATATTTTAGAAATAATGAGAACCAAACAAGGATTTAGACAACTAGTAACATAGTCTTGTTTATTTTAAATGACGCGGGGAAAAAAATTAAATTGCGATGTGTTTATAAGTTCAAATGTGGAATTCTCAAAAAAAGCCTGAATCTTTGGGGATGTTTGTTTATTCATTTAATGTTTTTTGAGGCTATATTATTAGTCTGGAGGGATTAAAATGCCCTCACTTCGTCCGTCTATTTATTTATTTATATTTCTAAAAAAATTATTTTTATTATACAACTTAAATTATTATACATAAAAGTTTGGTGACCAACATAGTGTTTTAACCTAATAGAATTCACAGTTTAAAAAAAAATAAAAAATAAAATTGATGTTTCATAAAATTTTATAAATCCTTGCCGGAGCTAGGTCCTTCTATGCTCACTAAAAAGTTTAATTATATTATTATTTAATATTTCTTGATTGAAAATCACAATTGTTTAAAAAAGGATATAAATCTGGCCTTCTTTTGGAAAGTTTTGAAGAGAGAGGAATCGAAGGCAATATATCTCGCCTCTTTTCCTATTATAAATAACTTAGGTTATAATCTTCTATCTATAAATTTCTTTCTCTGTAAGCGCTTATATATAGCCGTCAATACTACCGGTCTCCAATATCTGTATTCAAATTCAGGATAGATAATGACGCCCAACATCCAAGATGATGTGTTAAGGGAGATATTAGTTCGATTACCTCCAAAGTTTGTGTTCAAATTCAGGTGTGTCTCAAAGAGATGGAACGAAATCATCCAAGATTCTTACTTTCTTCGTAGTTATGCTTGTGGAAGAAAGGGGTCTCGTGATCAATTATTGGGTTTCATACTGCGTGCATACAAGTACCCATATCCAAACACCCGTCCTCGTTCAGAACCTCGGATTAAAGTCCTACCCCTACATGGTAAAAGAATAGGTGCTTTCCCAGAAAAAGTTGGATACTTTATTTCTTCCTCTAACGGTCTTGTTCTTTGTGGTCACCACCACCCGATGAAGTACTATGTAATCAATCCCTTAACACAAAAGTGGGTATCTCTGCCGCGACCTTGCAATCATTACAAGGAGGTATCCATGGGATTGGTATGCGAAGAAAATACAGCCCAATTGGTGGCAAAATACAAAGTTGTGAGGACAGGCAAGCCTGCTATGTTATTGGACAACAGAATAACCATTGAAACTTATTCCTCCACTACAGGGAAGTGGGTCGAATCAGTACTTGTTGCCACTGATAAGTTTTGTGTGTATCCGTGGCCATTTATTGCTCCGTTTGTGCTCAATGGTGTTTTTCATTGGGTAGCTTCCCCAAATTTTGTCGTTTTATATGATCCGAATGAGAACCATCTACAGCTGATTGAAAATCCAATTAATGAAATGGTACGACAATCTTCTGTATATTCAAGGTCGAGTGATGGCCTGTTATGGTGTGGAATTCTAACTGAATTCAATTTGAGAATTTGGATGCTCCCCAAATCTGATCAAGGCTACAAACGCTCGTGCACCATTCCTAAGGAAGAGTGGGTCCTAGTCCATGGGGTGACTTTTGAATCTCTTTGCAATGACTACTCAATGATCAGGGATACAAGATTAAGACCCGAGACACACAGCTCAAAATTTTATTCGCTCGTCTTTAGCTCATGGAATCCACTCATTGTGCTATTCAGAATTGGTGAAACTGTTTTCGTCTATAACATACCGAGCAAGTCGGTGGAATTGTTATCATATCGTGGCAAACCGCCTATTGATTATGGCGGCGAATATATTTGGCACCCTCACTTTGAGACACATTTTTTGTCTTCCTACTCCCTTCAGTAGAGTACTGTAAAGTTTTAACAGACTAGACGTAGTCATATAGGAGTCAATTTAGTTTAATTTAATTTTCTTGGTTGTTTTTGTTAATTAGACAAAGCCTTATGTTGAGTCACTTTTGCTAAGATATAACTGTACTCAACAGCTATTTGTGATTCATAAAATATTATGATTTAGCCAAACATTCTCTTACAATTATTACTACTCCTCTTGACTTACTATGATTATATAATTTAGTTGTATGCTTACTAATATTTTGAAGCCATGTTGAAAATTATTTGGCATCTGCAGCAGTAACACAGAGTACACAGCTTGCAGATTTTTCCTGGTTAGCTGATAGCCATAAGAGGAAAGATGTTACGTTTCCAAAAGAGATGAATTGAAACGTATTGGAATAATTTCAGCACCTCTTCCTTCTGATACAGATAGAAAACCGAATTTATAGAAACCCCTGAAGATAGTATTTTATACTTTTTGGAACCAAAACGCAATGTATTGCATGTTCCAATGTACACCCTACTTTTTCTTTGCTCACAAGCCTTCCTCAATTTGGAAAAATATTCTCTTTTTTCCCCATTGATCTATGTTTTCTTCATAAAATATATTTTTCAGTTACTGCTATGACTCTGGTTGTAACACAGACCTCCCTTCTTATTTCTTTGGCCTTTGAAACATAGAAATTATCAAAACATTGTATTTTGTTTGGACTTAGTGAGCACTCACTCGATAATTTATCAGTTCTTTTGTTCTCAACCAAATACCAAGCTGAATTCTTTAACAGACCGATTTGACTACATCAACAAAGAATGCTACAAACCAGTATAAAGTACACATCAACAAAGAATACTACAAACCAATCTAAATTACACAAAACATTCAATAGGTTATTTTTCAGTAATAACAACTAACTAACAAACAATTATTCCTTTCTCTTCTTAAAAGACCTAGTTAGTTTTGAAGAAAGATAATAGAATTTTATAATTAATCTTCATTAGACCTTGAAACAACACAAACACATACACGAGAGTAATTATCTCGTCGTGTTCAACTAGTGAGTTTAAGTTGATTCACCATTTGAATGAATAACTACTTTAAATAGTGGTAGAAGACAATTCATAATTTTTTAAGTGAGGAGAAGATTCCTTAAATATGTTACATGGAACTTCTCTAAAAACATTTATGAATACACGCTATGCAAGTCCAACAAGAAACCAGAAATGTGTTATTCAATACAACCATCAAGTTTGATCAACCATTACATGTTACATAGAATGAAATAATAAAAATATTGCATTTTAATTGAACTTTGGGAGTAATCACTTTATAATTTATTAGTTTTTCATATTCTTAGCTGAGCACCAAGCTGTAATTCTTTAACGGACTCATTTGACTACATCAATGACAAACACTACAAACCAATCAAGGCTAGCATTATGCAAAGTTAATGAAATAAGACCAAGACTATTATAAACTTTCCCATTAGGGACCTAACCCTATTAGGTGAGCAATACTAAACCGAATGATCAAATTGAAAACTAGAAAAGCATATGCACAGATTTATAGTTACCACTTGTCCCTGCATAGTTTCACTACAATAAAGACTACAAAATTTTTGTTATGTTTCTTGCGAGTCCCAAGAAAACTTGTTAAAGTCCTTGTATAGCCCCAATATTATAACAACCTAACAATGAAGGGGACACATTTCAAAAATTCTGAGATTTGAAAATTGGGTTGTGTACCTCCTATTCCATATTTTTTATTGACATTTTTCTGTGATCTAACTTCTGGTCATTGGGCACAAGATTCCACCCATTTCAATACCCAAATGACTTGCATATCATTTGATTATGTAATGAACATAGCTACCTTCTCAAACACAAAGTAATATTGACAAAACATTTCAAATTCAGCAATATAGCTCTATGAATTCAGTAACCTAGTTATCAATTGTTCACATTTACTCCTAAAAAGTAAAGTACTAAAACACTTTCTCTTCTATGCACTGTTTACTTTTCCATACTCCATACAACTTTAGTATTATATCACAATTATCCCTTCCATATGTATTTTGTTCTTTTCTATACAACTATACACTAACCTCTTCCCAGCTCAACGTCTATGCTCGAATGGACAGTTTTCGTCCATGCAGCATTCCCCTGTAGCAACAAAAAGGGGACAGAACCGTGGTACTTGATTGCTATGTCGAAACTGAAAAGATTTATAATATAAAAATGTAATTAATGTCGAGCAATATAAGAAAATTATAACTAAATTTCTTTTTAAAGTACTTACCCAACACCTAGCACCATACATGCAATTGCCCTTCTCATAGAATTTGCACTTCTATTTTTACAACAATGAAGAAAAGTTAAATTCAATAGTTATAAATAACAAAGTAAGTTTCGAAAGACAAAAATTATTAAATAACCTCTTGTTGGTAGATGTCCTTTCTTGGTGGACTCTTGCCCCTTTTGAGATCGTGATGACCGTGAGCAAACTATAATATATATAAAAAGGAAGTCAAGTGTCTTAACAAGTCAACATTATAGACAAAGTAATTCCAAACGAAACATGAAATCAACGAAACAACTAAAAGCAAAATGCAGTTCACAGATACTAAACAAGTCCAACCCTTCCATTAAATAAATCAACTAATAATAGTAGTAGCAACTCAAGTTATTAGAGATGATTCAATAAGCTTTCATATTTAAGTAAGATAGTTAGCCATCATCTCTAACTCTTCATATATGATGATGTAATAGGCTTCCAGAAAAATTTGAAATCGGTTTTTATGTGAAGTTTCCCAAAATCAAGATGAAAAGATAAAATTAACAAAGTAATTCGTGAAAAATAGAATTTTTTTTAATAAATTCAGATGTTGAGATTAGTATCTCATCCAGAGCTCGGAATTCTTTTTACTAAATATCCTGTGAAAGAAAGTTATGTTCAGTATCTGAGCATTATATACAGTATCAAGAATAAGAAACAGAAAAACTGAACACCTGCAAACTAAAGCTAGTTTTTACATTTAATACCAGACATCTGTTTAAATTTTAAACCCTTTCTTTTCAAATTGTATTATGAATCTATGATACACTCATGTCCCAGGGAGGAGATTGACATCAATAAAATCTAAAAATGAGAATCATGAAGGAATTCAACTTGTAATAGTAGAATTTATCAGTTTTTAGATGGTAATCAATGAATTATTATTTCTAGACTTCCATACTTCTTGGCTACCATTCTACCTGACATCAATTAAAAATGTGATTTGATACAAAATGATTTCATAATTTATTTTCACATCAACTTTGATTATTTATTTTTAACTTAGTTTTGCTTTACAAATGTTCTTTTGTCAGTATATACTCTATAGTGAAGTGGGGTTTTTGGGCTGCATATATAAATGACACCAGAATTGCTGCATCCCTCCTCCGCTTGCACTTTCACGATTGTGAAAAAAGTCTAATATTTATAGGTGTGCATACTAAATCTTGAAAATACCACAAAGATGAAAACAAAATAAAAAATTATGTAAAATAAAGGAAATGTTTTTTTTTCTCAAAAATTCAACTAAAAACCAAATCCAACAAAAACGCTGCTAACAAAAGTTCTAATCACAATGACTATTACAAACGGACCCCAAAACCTAGAGCCACCATTCAAGTCTAACTATCCTACAAACAAGTGTATATGGACCTCATTATGAAATCTTCAATCGAATAGGCACTGGGTGGGTTTCTAAAACAAAAGTTTGAAGTTACCTTGCAGTTCTCATAGAAGCAATTAGGATAGAATTTGCACAGCACTGTTTTGAACTTTGGATTGTCGCCCTGTGTAGAAGCCATGGCGATGTTGCTCGTGGGAAGTGAAGGAGAAGCTAAGTTTGAAAATCAAAATGACGGTCTGTTTATGAAGGGCGCGAAATAAACCAGAAGAATTGTTAAATTTGCCACATAGTCCCTAAGAAATTCTCTAATTTGTAATTGTACCCTAATCTATTGAAAAAATTCAGTATGACTCCTGTTGTACTGCATTTAAATTGAAATTAAAGTTTAAAAAGTCAATCAATCAAAATTCATTTGGCCCTTGTTTGAGCCTAATCTTTGTAAAGAGAATGTATTATAAAATAGTGATTTTTTAAAGAGTAATTAAAAAATAAGAATTTTTTTTTTTGATTTACAAGTAAATATTTTATAGAAAAATATGCGATTGAAAATGAATTTTGAAAAAAATAAGTTTTTGTGAAAATGGAGGGCCAAACATAGGCTTAAACTTCAAACCTTAAAATAAGAAAATTTCCCCAGTAAATAAGTAAAATTACATTAAGGGTTATAATATTCATTCTAATTGTACTCAAGATCCTCAAATCTTTTTTTGTTATAATAATCTGTCCTCAACTTTTTTCCCGTTGCACTCGAAACTCCTCCACATTTTCAGAAGAGCAACTATGAAAAATATGTAACATTTACGCGGCAAAACATACCACACGACTATTTGCTTAGTTATTGTGTAACACTTCTCGTTTATCGCTTGAATTGAGAAAGAAAAGCTGTTCAAAACATTTCGTATGCATTCTTTTTCCTGATATCCCAAAAATTGAAAATAAAATCTCGTCTTTAGCTCACTGCAACAGTGTAATTACAATGTACATGCGTCTAATATTTTTCAGAAAACACTAAAATTTGCTAAAGAATTCGGGTAAATCTTGGAAAAAGTCGAAAAGCTTATTGAGCCAAAATACCAACCTAGGTTGCCAAGAACCATATATAGACACACAATATATTAGCAGAAATACCTTGGCCCTCATTTTCAGATGAAGCCTAAACTAGCTGAAGCTTTTAATGTCCATAAACTAAGTTTTAAAGTGGATCTAAGGAGAAAATTTTAAATCAATCAACCACCAAATGTTATTGAATTCCATCGCAACCAATTTGAAATTATATTGTACTTATACAAATGTTGCTACTGAGAATTTGTGTCGTCATTACTACTACAAAATTTGCTGGCCACGAATGAAACAAAATCCTTGTATGCAAACCTCTGCACCATCCCTCGAATAAACGTGGATGTTCTTCATTTGTAGCACGAGGCTAGAACTTAAAGAAAGAGTGCTGTGGATGCAGTTACAAGCAGTTCCTGCAACAGGCATAAACCAATCCACATCAACCTCAGGGTAGAACATCAATGTGTCAATTTATGTGAAAATTATGGCATACTAATCTCTCCATCCAATACAATGCATTGTTCCTATCACACTAGATTAGATTAGCTTGCAATATAAATATTAATCAGAAACAGAAAATCACTTCTAAATTTGTAGGTTGAAGACTTTCGTTGAACATCCCAATTTGCCCAACAAAACATAAATGCTACTAATACTAAATTGGCTAAAAGTCATAAACTTTCCTTTGATTAGCTACACCACCATGAAAGAACTAATTATCAGGTGGGTTAACAGTTTGAAAATTTTGGGAATCAGATGATTTTATCATATTACTGGGAATGTCAATGGATACGTACAGATGTAAAGTTGTCTATCTTATGACTGGAAAATAGTTACTACCTGGTTGTTGTTGAAACTGGTATAGAACTAATAGAAAATTCAATGACCTTTACGAGGCCAGAGTACCCTTCAATTGAACAATAATTAAACTCAAGATAACCAGTAATCTTCCAAATGATTTTTGAGAACTAAATTTTGAAATTGCAAACCATTCAGTATCTGAAAGGGAGAAAAAGAAAGCCATCTAGCTTGGGTGCATCCTCTCTCTCTCTCTTTTGAGGTGGCCAAAATAGTATACTCTACATTTCTGATGAGGATCTGCTAATGTTTTTATATATTTTAACATACAAGATATTCCCCTTTGTATAACTTTGTACGAGGGTGGGTTTTGTAAACCGGATTGAAAAGGATAAGAATTAATTTAGTCCAAACATTAGCTGAACAAATGAGTTAAATTAGATCGTATACCAAAGATGCGAAAGCTATACAAACAAAAAACAGTGCCAGAGATCGAAGTAACCTTTTTCCCATTCGCGACATTCTCCCTTCATCCTCATCGTCAGCAGCAAAGACAAAACATCTAAGATCAATACGTAACAATCTTGATAATGACTTGATCCTTACAAAAACAAACAAGAACTATTTTGAACAAAAGAATCATTAAAGATTGAAAAGCATTATCAATTCCACTTCTCAACTTCCTGAAACTGTGAAGGATTCAGATGGTTCGAATGCCTTTAACTTCTAAAATATCTGATAGACAAACACAAAGGCCAAGAGTTGTAAAGGTTTATATTGAGCCGAAAGCTTGATAAAAATCCAGGCTGTCTGCAGGAAAAGAAGTAAGAATATAGTAACCTATATTGCTTGTATGAAAATTAGCAACATAATTAGCATTCATTTACATAATTCCAGGAGCGTATTTATATGATAACAAAATAAATACATTAATAAACGAACAAAATAAATACAAATTAGTTATAACTAGACTAATTAAATATGGGTATATTAATAAACGAACAAAATAAATACATTTTCAATAAAAAAACATGACTATAATTTGAAACAAAAAAATAAGAAAAGTGACCTTATAAAAATGAGACGGAGGGTGTACTAGTTTACAATTGAAATAATTAACTTTTTAATTTTTAACTTATACTCACAAAACATGTTAGTAAGTCTGTTTATTCTTTACTTATTTTTTTAAGCAATAACTCCATTATTCTTATTAACAACCATAGTTATAATACTCAATCCGATGATCGATCTGGACAAATCTACAGGCCATCAGATTATTGGTTCAATCGATGTGTCATTGTTGGTTCATACATTTAAATAAAAAAATATATCAATTAAACAAATTGAGCCTTTCTCTTAGAGAGAGAGTGAGAGTGAGAGTGAGAGAGAATGACGTGCAGGTGTATTTTATGTTAGAGTTGATATCTGTTATCTAATTTTTGATATTTGATCTGTTGTCCATCTAATTAATTATTGACACGTCATTTTAAAGTAACACGTTCAACTTTTATCTAGCTACTCCTTATGCTTAAAATTAGCTAACTTTTAAATGTAAAATTATATTTCAATAATTAATTAGTGAATAAAAAAATTGAACAACAAAAATTGAACTAGAGATCTCAACTCTTTATGTTAGTATTAGTCTTAAAATCATATGAATTTTATCAACTTGTAAAACTTTTTAAAATAAATAAAAGTTATGAGTACCCAAAAAAGTGAAGACAAATAAAAATTTAAATTTCTATAAATTAAAATATATATCACTGATAATTTTAGTAAATAAAAGTTCAAGTGGCACAATGATAAATAACAGAGTATATTACATAATTTGCCCAGGTTTAAATCGTCAAATAATTTTATATTTCGAAAAAATACACAACTACTAAACTCTAAAATTATTACTATTTGTACATATCACTTTAGCAAGAACACCCTCCGAACAACAACCTAAGGCCACCAAGTCAACCAAGAGAAAGTGTGTAGCACATCAGGATTGTTACGCACAATAGAGGAGAGTCCAGATCTTGGGTTGTTAAAATGGGAAGTCAACGATGACATGAAAGGCTTCACACACAGTAGGGGTCATGAAGCAGTAATGACGTAGCTTAGACCATGTTGTAGAAGTCTCGTAGCCTCCTAGACCGTGCCGAAGATGTCGCAAATCCTCCTAGACCGTGTCAAAGAAGTTGTAAAGCCTCTTAGATCTTGTCGCAATGCTAGTTTGGGGAGAGGTCTTCTCCCTAAAAGTTTTGTTGTTGCCGAAAGTCTTGAATTGACAAATAAAGGGTCAGTCGTATGTAGGTTAGGTTCAGGGTTCTTGATGAAATTGAATTTAAAGTTTTTATTTAGGAATAAATTCGAAACCCTAATTTAGAAGCCATAGTATCGAAACCTAAGTGCTCTTGTTAACTACGGCAAGGACCATGGGAAGCTTGTCGTTATCGTTGACGTCATCGATCAGAATCGGGCTCTTGTTGATGCCCCAGACATGGTGCGGAGCCAAATGAATTTTAAGAGGCTGCAACTTACCGACATCAAGATTGACATCAAAAGGGTTCCAAAGAAGAAGACTCTTATTGCTGCAATGGAGGCTGCTGATGTGAAAAACAAGTGGGAAAACAGTTCATGGGGAAGGAAGCTGATTGTGCAGAAGAGAAGGGCCTCACTGAACGATTTTGATAGGTTCAAGCTAATGTTGGCTAAAATCAAGAAAGCTGGTGTTGTTAGGCAGGAGCTTGCAAAGCTTAAGAAGGAGATCACAGCCTGAGAAATTTTAATCTTTTGATGTTAAGATTTTCACTTGGTATTTAAAAAGTTGTTTTGGTTTATTATGCTAGTTTTCTTCTACTTATTGATGACTTTATGGGCACATGAAAAATACTGTTATCTTTAATTTTGGGATCAATTCGAAAATCTTGGTGATTTTTGGCAAAGGACAACATGAGCTCAAAAAAAAAAAAAACCTAAGTGCTCTTATACCAAATTATTATTGTACTTATTGATTTTATTCCCTATAATAAATCATATAAATATAAGTAACATCTTATTTAGAATAGGAAAACAATACAACCCCATTTTGCTATAATGATTTCAAACTACGTAAGGGAAAATAACTCATACATTCTAACTGAACGGGTTGTGTGTGTACAGTCTTGTAAACATATATATACCCACTCCGAAAGAGGATCTTATTTAAGAATAATAAAAGTCCCCAGCTAAATGTAATACACTTCAGGATTCATTATTACTAAAATTAGGTTGGTTGACTTGGTAGCCTTAAACAACATTACTTTTGAATAGTATAATTTATATGCAGGATTTGGGATGATTTTCCCTTTATATTTTAGGTGTATAAAGTGTGGTAATAATGGATCGATTCGAGCTAGACCAACATTTGAGTTTTAATTGAAATCAACTTGCTCTAATAATTTTTTACGATAATTATTGATTCTTGACCTGGTCAAAATATGCAAATTGGCTTGGCTCTATGCCCGATTGATGATTTCAACCTTTTGATCGATTCGAACCAGTTCTAATTACTATGTTAACAACTCGAAATAAAAATATCTAATTTTTAAATATTATTTGGAGTTGTTACTTGGCTATTTCACAACTTAATATTTGAAATTTGTTTATAGTTGGATTTAAATTATATAAGTATAGATAGAAATGAATGATGAATAAACATATAATACTTGTGAGTTTTACAAAATGCATAAATTAAAATGATTTGACGAAAAAAGGTTAATATTTTAATCACGTGCCAAATATGGAAGTGTAGATAAAAGATTGTATTTAATCCATAATAAATGACTCTCACATTTATGTAAAATTTATTTTAATAACTCAACGGACCTTTCCAACAAAGAAACATACAATTGTGTTCATGCGTTGATTAATTGTTTAGTTGATGGAGGATGTTGTGTGTACATGCAGACTTCATATAAGTTTGCCAGAACACACACATAGGGGGTGGGTGGGGGTGTTTTCTGACAATTTTTTTTATTCATGGTGGGTCTCACAGATAAGAGTAATTTGGCCAAATTCTGTACAAATGGCTTAAGTGTTAGTTGATTCACACAATTTAGTACAATTAAGGAATTTGAAACAATTAGTTCGTTATTTATACATTATAATAATATAAAAGCTGAAAGTAAAGCGATATGAGTTCGCGTGGCCTAATGGATAAGGCGCTCGCCTCCGGAGCGGGAGATTGTGGGTTCGAGTCCCACCGTGAACGTTTTTAAATTATTTTTGCAGTTTCCATTTTTCGTTTATTTTTCTATTTTTCTCTTGGTTTTCACCCGTCTCTTGTTGGGTTCTCTTAGCAAGTTTTCCTTCAAAAATATGCAGAAACTTTTCTAGAAATTTATTTTACAAGAAATGTAAATGTCTACATCTCAAACTGCATAAACTTGCATATTTCGAACAGAAACCGACTAAAACTTTTCATCTAGCCTTTATTTTCAACTTAGAACTTTACTTTATTTGATTCAAGAATCAAGATGAATATCCAATGATCAGTTAGTTTTTTCTATGATCTTGTAGTGAAATCCGTCTGGAAATCTTATGATCGGTGAACGAACAATTTTTCCTCCCTTGACAATAGCCCATCTGCACAGATATTAATGAACATGGTTAGATCTAATTGTTCTTATAACTCTTAAGCAGTTGCAAGTGACCTTGCTTGTTCAACGAAGAAATCCCTTAAATATGATGCAAAACGGAAGAAGTACCTGTACTTTGTGGTGAGGACGTGTATAAAAGTTGCCAGCAGCACCCTACTATATTCTGCACCAGCACATTGCTTCATACCAGATCCAAATGGCATAAAACATTTAGCTATGACAGATGGTTGAAGTTCCTGTTTAATTAGAGCGAAAAATCTGTTATTTCCGTCACTGTAAAAATCGGTTTATAAGGGAAGGGTGCTCGATCAATATGCTTATAAGGCCACAAGGATTTTGACGAGTAATGTGGAACTCAGAAGTAATCGTTACAAAGAATATAAACTTTGCACACCTTCCAGCGCCATGGATTGAATTTAAGCGGATCCTCAAATTGGTTGGAGTTAAGATGAAGGCCAGCAGTGGCAATCATAATCACCCATCCTGAAGGAATTGTATATCCTGCAAGAAAATATTTTATGTATTGTTATTTAATTTCGTTGTAATTGAACACATTACGTGAAAATGCCTATCTTTTCAGTTTCTATGATTATATATATGTACCATTTACTGGAATATCTTGTAAAGCTCGACGAAAGAATCCAGGTGCTATATTTCCGAGCCTTAGAACTTCATTTATAACCTACATATATGCAGTTTTTCATTAGACACGTGTGTCAGAGCAGACATCAGACGGCAAAATACAGTAATGAATTGTATTGTCTAGTCTCCTTCAGTATTGCTTCAAAAATGTTGTACATGTATGGACCTGAAGAGTAAAGGTCATAGATTTATAGTCATTCCATGTGAGATGGGATTCTGATTTTTCTCGTTTCTTGAGGATCGCCTCGTGTTCAGCCTGGAGAATGGACATTGATTAATGGCTATAAACTGAATAAAATCGGGACATAAAGACAGTTCATATATAGGTATATACTTACAGTTAATTCCTCCAAAACCAAGGGATGTTCAGCAAGTAACTTGAAAGCTAATGCTAGAGTGGTAGAAATGGAATCAGAAGTGACAAAGAACAGTCCAAACATCAATTGTACGATGAAATCCTCGTCTAAGAACGACTCCTTTTTCATATCTTCGATCATATGATCAAGCATATCTCCATATTGCCTCTCAGGCTCTTCGAGCCTAGTTTTCACGATGTCCTTCATCATTTCTCGTACTTTCTTGTGCGTCTGAAAATTTTTTCTTAGTGAGAACAAACCATTTTCTCGTCATTTTTAGACTAATCTCTGGATGATATAAATGTGTACACGTACCTGTAGGCATCTGTGATGCGCGGTACCAGGGATATTAATGGGAAACGACATTAGACCATCGACCAAGTCCCTGAACAAATCACTTATCTTGAGTGGTGCATTCTCAAGATTACCACTATATATTTGCCTCGCCGCGTAATCAATAGCCATCTGTCATGGAAAATTAATTTATGATCGTATTTCACTTTAATCTGCTATGTTGTTATGTATTTATAAATAATCCAAAATCCATAGGAAATAAGTGATACTTACTGTAACAGAAGCACTTTTGACTTCAACGGATTCTTGACTCGACCAATTCGAAAGAGTTGTTCGAACCATATCTTCCATTTGAGGGAGGAGTTTCTCCCTGAGAGCTTCCACGCCAAAGTGATTTAAAGTCAAGTGTCGTGTATATTTTCGCGATGACTGGCTGGCTTGATCAAATACTTCGGCAAATGTGTCCATTGACCATGTGTCGACTAATTTTCCGTCTTGTCGAAGAAGAAAATGATTGAATTCAGGATCTGCTGTTATTATCACTGGCCTGCCTGCTACATTTGTTCGAAAAATAGGTCCATACCTAATCCATACACGGGTAGTTTAACTCGTAAAAACTAAATCATTCCCGACATCCAAAAGAATATTATTAATGTTTTCAGATCAATGTAAGTTAAATAAATAAGTTTTTCTCCCTTCTTATTAAGCTTTTAGATGAGGAGACGTAGCTTTGACATCAGAGCCCGAAATAGTTCTCGAGTTCAAGTCTCTTAACCACCCATTTATGAAAATCGTGCATGTGTCAGGTGGGGTGACGTGTTGAAGATATAATTTAAATAAATAAGTTTGTTGATTTCTAACAGCTTAAACATTTTCTTTACCTTTTCATTCTCTTTTTGATGAATGGTGGAAGGTCCAAAGAGGCATTTGGAATGACTAACTGAATCGTTTCGCCGATAAGAGGGAGCCCCATGGAACCTGGAGGAAGAACTCCATTGCATTTGGGATTCCTCCATTTGTAAATCCAGTGAGTAATATAAACCGTAAGCAATCCCACAATCAAGTATCCAACTGTTGACAGATCCAATGCTGCCATTTGACTTATGATGTTCGAGGAGTTTAAGGTTTCCATATTTTGTTTCAAGAACAGGCAAGAAAGCTGATGGAATTAGAGAAAATTGCTTGGAAAAACTTAGAGATTGAAGAAAATTTTTGGTACGAAAGTAATCTCCGGACCACACCATATATATAGAGTAATCTAAATTAGCAAATAAATTTGAGAGGAGACAGTAACAATGAAGTAAATATAGTTTAATTTGGTAGCCTCCAGCAGTAGGAATATTTTTATTTTTATTTTTTTTGGAGCTTTTAATATGTGGCAAAAAAGACACAGCAGGGGATCAAACTTGCCAATTTGCTTCAGATTTTGTTTATTGTTCTCTTATTTGTCTCTTTTGCCTAGTTAAATGTAAGATGGTATTACAGCCGGCAAAGCTCTCGAATTCAGGTTAACATTTTTGCGTCGAATTTTATCTTAGTCTTCAATTAATTACAACCAGAGCAGACTTCGTGACTGTGGGTAGGATAATAATTGCCCGCGTGATATCACCATTAGTGATTAATAAGTATGTTTTTGACTTTTCAGAAAAACAAAAAAAGGTTTGACCCGCTGACGTAACAACGTCACATCAGCATGTGGGCATTATTACTATGGCCCATTGTGGGTATTTAGTATGGATGATATTAGTAAAGATTAAAAATAATAACGATCTTCTCTTTATTGAAGTTGTAAGGTAACCTAATTTTCTTCATTTCTCCGGTTAGACAGATGAAAAAGTAGGTGCGAATGCCTCCAAAAGGTACCACCAATTGAGAATCAGTGTTGAGATTTTGTATTAACTGGAAGTGCTGGGTTCCAAATTCAACTGCGTGGGTTGTAGGTTGCAGGTGAGGGGACCTGCAAAAAAAATCAATAAATATAGCAGAAGAAGCTCAGGGCCACTGGTGGGATCTCTCTTTAGATTACATACCATACAGTTTAGCTGTTTCAAGAATTGCCAGCACCCAACCACCAGTTTAACACAATTATGCCTTTAAGAATGGGAAAATTACATAATTCCAGGTCTTTGAACATCACAATTCAAACATCAGGGACCAAGATTCATAATTCAAATATCAGGTATTGATATAATAATAAAATATTAAATATTGAAATTGAATTCCCAAACCCTAGTATTTTCATCCCTTTTGTTCTCTCTCTCTCTCTCTATAACTTTATTCCATCTAATCGCCAATCACCGCCCCTCTCTGGTGCAGTCGCCGCAGTGGCGGATCGGGTGTGGTAGTGGTGGAGGCTGCTTGTGGTGGTGGTCGATGGAGGCTGTGGTTTCAACTGGCAGCTTTGGGGTGTGGTAGTATTGTTCGATGAAGGTTGCTGTAGTTTTCAGCTTGCGGCGTCGGGGTGTGTTGGTGGTGGTTGTCAGTGGAGGTTGCTGTAATTCTCAGCTGGTAGCGTCGGGGTGTAAGCGCTGTGCTGCCAATTGCCAAAATGTCGATTGAAGGAGCAATCGGCGCTTCGTGCAACTCCAGCGTCGACGCCTCGCATGCGGATCTGTAGTTTTGCTGGTAAACACGTGGGTGGTGTGTTTGGGGGTTTGGGGATTTTTGTTATGTCATGGCCCGTGGGTGGTGTGTTTGGTGGTGGTTGTGGTGTGGTGTGGTGGTTGTTGTGTGGCTTGGTGATGGCGGCAAACGGGGATGGTGGTGAACTAGTGGATCTGGTGGCGACGACGTGGTGGAGTTGGTGGGGGTGTTGGGTTTGAGGTTTTCTGCTGGATGGCGGTTGTGGTGTTGTGCAGTGTGGTGATCTCCGTATTGTTGACGGTGACGGTGTTGGTGGTGAATTTGGCGGTGGTGATGGCCTGGTTCAGACGGTGATAATGGTTCTTTTTGGTGTGCTGTGGTGGAATTGGATCAAGATCAGGTGTGGTGTTGCGGTGGTACAGTGCAATCGACGATTGGCTGGTGGTGGTTGTGACCAAGATTGGTGCTGGATGGGATCGATGGAAGGGGTGACCATAAAGTTTGGTCTGGGACCTTAAAATTTGACGATCCGTGACGATCTGTGACTAAAACAATAATCTGTGACCTCAATGATTTGGTTTGTGACCTTAAAATTTGACGATCTGTGACTAAAACAATAATATGTGACCTCAACGATTTCGTCTGTGACCTTAAAATTTGATAATTTGTGACTTATAAAATTTTCGATTTGTGACCTCGAAATAATCTGTGACCAATTACTTTAATGATATGTGACTGATAAATAAATTTGTAAAATATGTGACCATTAATTATTTAACTGTGACTTTAATATATTTATTTAATAAATAATTTTAATTAATTAAATACAAACCTGAATTTTGAATTTTCAAACTTCTTACCTGGCTTTTGAAATGGTGTAAAGAATACACCTTAAATATGAATTTTTCCCTTTAAGAATTTAATTTAATTAATTAATTAATTAATTTTATAGCTTAAGTGGGCTGAGTGGCCCAAAGTTCAGTGCAGACAAAGCCTGAATTATGTCCGCCCTTGGTGGGCATGATATCATTTCCATAATAAACGTATAATTTGACTCCTTGTAAACGCAGTGTACAGTTAACTCTTGTTTCCTGGCCTGTTGGGAATATAAATTGACTACCCATTTAATATGTCTTTCTAAAATTTTTCAGTGACACAAGATGACAGCAACAGTAGTTGTGGAATTGTGAAATATAATGTGTTCACGATATTTTTTCTTTATTTAACTTAATCATTTAAAGTATTTTCAAATTCATGTTGCTGCTACTGTTACTTATGGACTAAGTTGATGGTGGGAAAAAGGGGTGAAGTGGGTGAGGACAATTTTACCCTTGTTTATGGAAAGAAAAAGGTATTTTTGTATTTAATTAACGGAAAAGTTGAAGGAATATGGACGGAAGGACGTCCAGCGCAAAGAAAGGTTGAAATGAGGGCAAAAATGCCAAAAAATGAAAGATAGGGACGTTTTCCAAAATAGACTTGAAAGGTAGGGACGTTTTGTGCCAATTACCCTTTAATTAACGGAAAAACTGACGGAATATGGATGGAAGGACGTCCAGTGCAAAGAAAGGTTGAAATGAGGGCAAAAATGCCAAAAAATGAAAGGTAGGGACGTTTTGTGCCAATTACCCTTTAATTAACGGAAAAACTGACGGAATATGGATGGAAGGACGTCCAGTGCAAAGAAAGGTTGAAATGAGGGCAAAAATGCCAAAAAATGAAAGGTAGGGACGTTTTCCACAATAGACTTGAAAGGTAAGGACGTTTTGTGCCAATTACCCAATTATGAATTAAGAAGTTGATCAACAATGAACTTTTTTTTTCCCGAATGACTCTATAATGAATTTCTGACCATATTTTTTATTCAAAAAGAAATGGAATAATATATGATAAAGCTGAGCTCATAACTGAAAAAAGCAGGGGCGGACCCACATGGGGTCATGTGGGATCAAATGACCCCCACAAAATTTTGCCCCTGTATTTTTTTTTTTTTACAATATACTTTGATATACTCGTCAGGATGCCAAATTGAGTCAAAATATTACATTCTTAATACCATTTCAAAGTGTTCATGACTTAGTTTTTCACTCATTAATGACATGCGAAGTGGTCAACTATAACAAAAGTTATGACATGTTAAAGTAGAGCATATAAAACTAATATTTTGAGAATTTCGATAATATCTTAACTTTAAAAATTTGTTTGCAATCATGTACTATTTGAATTCACAAATTGTCTATGTCATGTAAAAGTTTGTTTCGAAAACTACATCGTTTTCATATCGAATGGTCCAAACGGATATCTAGTTAAATATATATCAAACGTACGCCTCAAAAAAGACGTCTAACTCGTTTTTTCTTTTAAAAAATTCAATTAATTATTATTTTTGTACAATAAATTTTTCAATATAATTTATATCGTTTTATTTGGAAGTCTTACATGAAATATGACGTAATTTTTTTAGGATCGTTACGGATTAAATGCAATTTGAATTACTTTCGAATTATATTTACTTTAAATTTGAATTTTATTAACTTCCTGAACTGAACTTGAATTTTATTTCAATTCATTTAATTTCTATATTCAATTTAATTTACTCAATGTTAGCTCAACATTTGCCAATAAAATGATAAACAAAAGTAAACAAGTAGCAAAATTTATTTAATAATATTAATAATGATGTAATTATACGACGTTTTCAAAGTGTCAAAATACATATAAATTTATTTGCATTGATATTATGTTATTTATTAAAAAATTATTTTTAAAATTTTGACCCCACAATATTAAAGATCTGAGTCCGCCCTTGAGAAAAAGTATCAAGAAAAGTAGTAATATCTTATACCTAAAACTAAAATAGTTCAAGTCAATTTTCATTATCCGATTGTTACTTTCTTTTTTACTAGAAAAAAATGTAACCACAATCATTAATAATGATTGTGCCCTAAGTTCTATGTTCATATATACTCATATTTATCTGAATTGGAGTTCGGTTCTTCTATACCGTGAATAGCACATACAACATCCTTAGCGCATGAAATGCACGTGAATGAAAATAATGTTGCTTGTGCTTCGAAACTCAAGACTCGAGTCTTAGCGAGGTTACTTCAGATTTTGTTAATTTGACCCTTTATTCGACATCAATTGACAGCCTTCAATCAAATTCAGTCATTTTGAACTTAGGCTCTTCGCATTTGGTGCTTGTTACAGGATCATTTTCCAACACACATTTATACAATAAAATATTATATACGTAAATCAAAAACTTTTCTTTACTTTTTAACTTACATTTTGTTAAAATTCACTTTTCAAAACTCTTTTTTCTTCAATAATAATTGTCAAATTGGCCGTTAATGTAGTTACTTCATGTGACACGAAATAAAAGGAGAAAACCACATAATTTTTGAAATCACATCTTTTTAGAATAATGCTATCTAGCATTAGTAGTGTTAGAGCACCAGTTTATTGACATTATGTGATAGGTTCATTTAAAAGTAAATTTATATGATTTATTTAATTGTGCAATTTATTTAATGACACTTAGCCTTGGTTAAACCTCATTTTTAATCAAAATACATTACTGAATAGTGATTTGATCTCATTTCAACTACACATTTTTCAATAAAATAACATTACACACAAATCCTAAACTTTTACTTATTTTATAATGACACATTATCCTTAACACTATTGTAAAATGCATTTTTTGAAATCAATAAAATAACATTTCACACAAACCCTAAACTTTTACTTATTTTTTAATCACACTTTATCCTTCATAAAACTATTGTAAAATGCATTTTTTGAAAAAAAAAAAAAAGGCTCAAACAAACTTTTAATTCCACCTAAATTGATGTTGTACTACCAGTGATGCTAAATATCATTACTCCATCTTTTATTCATTTCTTATACACCAAGAAAAAAAGGCTAGAAGACGGTAATTTATACTTCTATTTTCCATCAAAAAAAATATTAGAGTATGTTTGATTTGTTTTATGAAATATGTCATTTTTCATCCAAATCCCTATTCTTTGGATGTTTGATTAACATTTTTTTCATGAAAATATTTTTTAACTTTTAGTCATGTGAGGCTTCATATTTTCCTCAAAAATAAGGAAAATATTTTTTTTGGAAAGACGTGATTTTTATTTTTCAGTCAGTTCACTATTTCTCATTTATTCACCATTAAAAAATAGACAAATATAATAATTTCTAAATTGAAAACTAAATTAACCAAACATACTTAGTTAATAATTTTCATACAAATAAATTCTAGACAATTGAATTGTCTAAAATTTATTTTTTTTTCATGCAAATTTTATGCTCGATATCATACACACATTTAGTCTAGTAAAACTTATTTTTTAATATTATTTTTTTTTTTTGACTAAATTTACTTAAAAATGACTTTCTAAGGTTAACCACCAAAGTATTGCAACGCAACTCCAACTCGGAGACGACTAGGAAGACCGGACGAGGAGTGTGACAAAAACGAAACAACACGAAATATATTCTCCACATTTCGTAATATAATGTTAATATATAGAACCATCATAAAAGGTTCTATTTGAATTACCTCTCAAAGTTCAAACACTTCTCTCAGATCTTTAATCTCACTCTCTTCCAAATCAATATTCTACTCAATCCACATTAATTATATACAATCTAACTAAAGTATGTCGAATTTGGGATTCAGTTCACTATTACTATTAATGATTACACTTTTTAGTTTCGGTGGAGCGGCCTTGGTATCTCGGAATTCAGAAGAAGCGTACGTGACGCTTCTGTATGGCGACGAATTCTTGCTGGGCGTTCGAGTCCTGGGGAAATCGATTCGTGACACGGGTTCCACCAAAGACATGGTTGCTTTGGTGTCTGATGGAGTCTCCAACTATGCCAAAAAACTCCTTCAGGTCATCTTTTGAGCAATTTCTCTTCCCTTGTAATGTTAAAGCAACTGCATATGTTTTTTTGAATCTGTAAGGTTTTTGGTTAGTTCCTAAGTTGTTTATGGTGCTGGAAAATTTGTTGCTTTTGAATTGGGAGAATTATTGATGCTTTTATATGGTTGATGGAATTGGGAGCTCAAAGTCCAAAATTCTGGAAATCCTGAAATGCATTGAATGGTGATTTATAATGTCATTGATTCAATTGTGTGTATTAAACTTCACTCAAGTAGCTCATTTTATATAGTTTCAGTTACCGGAATGGTTGCTGTAATAGACAAGAGTGGGTTGATGAAAATACCATCCTTGTTGATTACAATTGATAACTTTAATATAGTTTTACAGTGGAAGAAGGTGTTGGGCGGAGTAGGGACTGAATAAGATACTGCCACTCATCTAGGTTTTATCCTGTCCATCCAAGAAGCCGAAGATTTTGTTTAAAGCTATCTTGATACTAGAAGAAACTAGTATTAAATTCTTTTATTTCGAGGTTCAAAACTCAGTGACTCCATTTAGTAGAATGGTTGTTTGAGCTATTGAATATTGATGCTAAGATTGCACATGAAAATACTGCTTTCTCTATTGATTGATTTCATGTGAGGTTTTTGGTTTCTGTTATGCAGGCTGATGGTTGGATTGTGAATACAATTAGTTTACTCCAAAATCCTAATCAAGTTCGCCCGAAGAGGTTTTGGGGTGTTTACACAAAGCTTAAAATATTTAACATGACTAATTACAAGAAAGGTGACTCTTTGTCTTAAATTCTGTTTGTGAAGTATAAAATATGACGAAGTAAACTTGTTGGAGTGAAAATTGAAATGACGTTCTTTTGGCTTCCAAAACATGCAGGAGTGAATTCCCCATGATATGTTCTGTTGAAGTTCAATTTATTTAATGTATATGGTTTAGTGAAGTGTTGCTAATCTTCTCATTTATTTATTTAAATTTTGACAGTGGTATATCTTGACGCTGATACTATTGTGGTTAAGAGCATTGAAGATCTTTTCAAATGTCGTAAATTTTGTGCCAACTTAAAACATTCAGAAAGGCTGAATTCCGGGGTCATGGTTGTTGAACCATCTGCAGAACTTTTCAATGACATGATGACCAAAGTGACCACTTTGCATTCATATACTGGAGGTGTAGTACTCTGTTAGTGCCCCATGCCAATGGTCTTTTAACGCTAAATATGGACGTAATACTTTTTGCCCTGTGCCAATGGTCTTTTAATGCTAAATAAGGACGTAATACTTTTGTCTTGACCTGTCATATTGATATTCTTTGAATGTTATTGCATGAAATTTACTTGATTTTTTATATACCTCTTGAAGAATATTATTCCATATAAATATTACAATTTGAAATTTGTTTAATATCACAAATGTAAAAAATGAAATAAAATAACAATGGTCTATATTGTCCCCAAAAAAAACATTGACGCTTTGAGTAAGTACTGAAGTAAATTGAGTAGTAGTAATGGAATTGAAGACAGAGAAATTATTATCTTATCCTTTTTGTATTTATAATAAAGAATTTCTCATTGTGGTATTGGATATTGTGTAGTTGTCTAGACATTGAATTACTACTAGGCATAGGACCTACTGTGGTCACTGGCCAAAGTATTTACGCGACATGATTTTATGTCTAAACATGTTTCAACTTCACTTCATTTCACAATAAATGTAGCATGGACATGGGATGCAAAATGGGATTGGTATTCCAATTATTCTATGCATATGTGCATGGAAGCTGATGCTATATTAAAGTTTTCTTCCATATAGGTTAAGCTATAACTGGAAGCAAATAAATAAATAAAATCTTGAAGAATAGTTAACTGGCTTTAAAAAGTTAAGATCTATTTGTGAGTTTTTCTTTTCTATACCAAGTCTCTCACTTTTCCTTGTGGCTCGAGCAGGTGACCAAGGGTTTCTCAACTCATATTACTCCGATTTTGCCAATGCACACCTTTTTGAGCCAGATGCATCTCCAGATGACTTGAAGTCTAGACCTGTTCCCCAAATGGAGAGACTTTCCACTTTATATAATGCAGATGTTGGCCTTTACATGCTTGCTAACAAGGTAACATCCCTTGCTTCTAATAAGAATATATATTTGCTTGTTTTCACTTTACGTTATTAAGTAACCTCATACACTCCAAAAGCTGCTCATCAAGGTAGCTTTGGTTATGGAGGGGGTGCCTTTCCTGTACGTCCAATGAGTGCATTAATGCTTCCTTTATTCATTTTTACTTTTTGTTTAGAGGGTATCATTATGTCCTTAATCATTGGAGATTAGATTGAAGTGAGTGCTTCAAGAGGTGAACATGTATATATTGGTTTTGCTTGGGAGCTTAGATAGTATTAAACTAAGCAATGGACTCTGCTCTTGTATTGTCAACAGTCATTTATGTGCATTTTTCACATTAAGCCAGAGACATAATACTTATTTTATACTCCTGTCAGAATGTATAGCGCAACTCAAATACGCAAGTTGTCAATTTTCCTGATGTTCGACAAGAAAGTGCACAAAGATTTATGATCACCTTCAGGAATGAATTTCCATCAATTCCTAGGCTTTTGAACATTTTTACATAACTACTTTTGAGGTTGTTAACCATGAATGCATACATCTTGATGGAAGCTAACCATGAAAAAAATCTACTACATAGGACTAGTTGGAATGAAAAGTGATGCAAAGCGGAATTGGAGTTCTTGAAATAAATATAAAGTCGAACTAGCTCAAAAATTTGTAGTGAATAATTTTATTGTAGTGTATTCGTTATTGAAATAGTTACGAAGTCTTTATTTATATAAGCAAATGAATCTCTAAATCCTAATAGTTTAAGGAAGATAACTAATTAAAACCTAAAAGAAAAGTAATAGAAACCTAAAGAGTAATAAGTCCTAATATAAACAAGAAATAATTATGTTTCCTATTTGTGATAGAACTGTTATACATTAATTTCTCACACTTGGAAAAAAACTCGTTCTCGAGTTTGGTTGAAGGAGGGAAAATCTCCAAATTTTCGTTGTGAGGATTCGAACTTAGCTTGGACTTGAGAAAAATCTATAGCCACTTGTTGTTGTGTTGTGGACTCGTTGAAGTGACCAACATCCATGGCTGTCAAAATCTATAATTTTTGTGAGCAGTATCTTCGAACCTATTCATCCTTCATCAAAATCTAAACTGAGGTTGGTAATTTTGCAATCCTCTTGACTGTCATCACGAGGATGCATGTCACTATGACCATAGGTGGTCATCAACCAAGAGAAAAACCTTGCTCTTGTACCAATTTTGGCGTGGAAGCGGAATTGAAATCAGTGAAGCAAGAATATAATTGAATCAACTTGAAAAATTGTAGAGAATAAGTATATTGTAATGACTTGTCCATTGAAAAATTCTAAAGCCTTTGTTTGTTTAGGCATAATAATCTTCTAATCCTAATAGCTTAAAAAGATAAGTAATTAAAACCTAAAAAAATTAATCAAAACAAAAAAGAAAATCCTATTGCAAAAAGAAATAATTTCCTGTTCTATTTGTAAATGTAATCGTCCTACATCAAAAGGGTTTATTGAACAATAAGTAGACAAGGACAACATCATGGGAATTTTTAAACATAATATTTTGCAGCCAAAATAAAGAAAGAAAGAGAATTTTGGGGGCAGATGGATGCTATTGGCTCGTCATCTTGATACAGAAAATTCCTTTTGAACTACTCCCTTTGTGCGAAAATCATGATAGAGTATGTTGTTCTTTGGTCAAAATGGATCCAGTCATGGGTACTAGTCCTCCTTGAGAATATTACATTCCTGTTATATTCTCATTAAATCAAATGGGTGGAAGTTTTACTGAACTAAAGCTATAAATGTCAATAGTAACTAGCTCCATTAAGAGGGTAAGTTTGGAGAAATGAAATAAAAATTGGAATTTGTCTATGTGGAGATCAAACAAGCAGATTCTTTGGGGAAGGAGCAGCATCCATCTTGATACAGAAAACTTCTATGAATTCCTTTTGAGCTACTCCCTTTATGCGAAAATCATGATAGAATATGTTTCTTCTTTGGTCAAAATGGATCTAGTAGGGGGTTACTAGTCCTCCCTGAGAATGTTAAATTCCTGTTATATCCTGTTTAAATCAAAACGGTTGGAAGTTTTATATTACTAAAGCTATAAATGCCATAGTGACTACCTCCTTTAGGAGGGTAAGTCTGGAGAAGTGATATAAAAATTTGAATATGTCTATGTGAAGATCAAACAAGTAAATTTATTGGGGAAGGAGGGATTGCTTATTTAAGGAAAAGAAGATCCTTGGTTGATCCTCTTGGAATGGCCAAGATTCTGAATAATGCAGTAGTTCTGCTCTGGGAAAAGCAGACTTTTTATTATATATATTAAGAGGAATGCTTCAGATGAAAGAGTCTGTCTTGAAATGTTGTAAAATCTATGTTCTTTTCATGTTTTGATTCCTTTTGGTACTATTTGCAGTGGATGGTGGATGAGGAAGAACTCCGCGTTATTCATTACACGCTTGGCCCTCTAAAACCCTGGGATTGGTGGACATCTTGGCTTGTTAAACCTGTTGATGTCTGGCAGGTATATCATTTTCTTTCTCATTCCATTGTCATAAATTTAGTTTTCTGCTTTTTCCTTCCGTCCGCTTGTCATTTTTATTTCCTCCTCATCTTCCACAATATAACACCTAAAGTTGTTCTATCCTTTTTATCAAGTGCTCTAGATATCATTTTCTCTTTATCTCCGATCTATTTTACCTGTTGACATGCATATCGTTGTGTTGCTGTTTTTGGCTTGGGAGGGTAAGCTGGCATCCCATGTTCCTTCTGTAGACCATCGAATTGATTTACAGAGCTCAGATTCACATTGCCACCAATTGTATGACTTTCTCATGATTGATAAAACTGCAGGATGTTAGAATAAAGCTCGAAGAAACTCTTCCTGGGACCGGAGGTGGCAAAAATCCAAATGACAAATATCTAGTTATATCTCTTTTTCTACTTCCGGTTCTGTTCTTGGTTTTCTGTTATTATCGGTCTTTCCTACAGGTTAGCATATAAAATTTTCTATTGATTAAAATGCTCGTTAATGTCTTTAATGATAGTGTCAAACTGTTAATCGTATTACAGACAAGATCACTGTTTGATCATATTAGACACCTCTACTACATGTTGAGGTCTGGAGGAGTCAGTTATTCCTCAGTCACTTCTTCTAATATCAACTCTAACCCGCAGGTTTGTCTATTCTTCTAGTTTTTCACATAAATCACGTTTCAACACGTAAAAACAAGAGCATGATTATCCTTATTTCATAATCTACAATTTTATGTTCTTTTCCCTCTTTCTTTTGTGTATAAGATATGGGATGTCATTAGTCTATTCTATCTTGTCTATACTATTCATTTTATGCCCGCCATGGCTATCTTTTTTATTTACCCGTTATGCTTTTCTGATTTACAAATAATGTCATACAGCAGCTTTCCAACATTTCTGACAAATTTTCACATGACATTCTACTGATACAGTTCCCGAATTTGGCGTACAGCAAAGTGCCTATTTTCTTGGGTGCAATGTCAGTTGTTGTGTGTTTTACGGCTGCTATGGTGTCCCTTGTGCTTTCACTAGCAATTGTCCCTCGGCAAGTAATGCCATGGACTGGTTTTCTCCTTGTGTACGAATGGACATTCACAATTTTCTTCTTATTGGTTGGAAGTTATTTGCATGTAGTCCACCGATGGGGAAAACTTGTGGCCAATCAATCAGTGTCCCTTTCCCAGCATCCTGAATCTATTGAATATGATTCTGGGAAAGGTACATACATTGCAAGATATACCGAGCTTACTATTCTTGTTATCTTCGAATGGCAGTGTTATTCATAATCTGTTCGTATTTTAGGTCATTTCCGACAGATGTCTTCTTGTGATTTCGCTACCACATGGTATTATGGATTAGGGGCAGCATTTCTGGCCTTGGCAACTCCTCTTTTACCTTCTGTTTTGGGGGTCACTGCTCTATTTTTAAGGTATTCTGCTGCGATTTATGCATCATCTTTTCGTTGTTTGCCATGCCATACATATATTAGATTGTAGAATCAGAAACACTGGTATGCGTTATGTCTGATTTTTACCTCTTATTATGTTTGAAGACATTTAACCTGGCCATTAAGCGATTAGATGATGCAGTACGCCATTAATTTCATCTGCTTTCTTTGCATTTGACTTGAGACCAACTCAAGTGTCATTTATTCTTTCCAAAGTGCATATTTCCCAAGGCAACTACAAGATGTAAATGCAAATAAGAATTTCAGAATTCAATCTCTTATCAAATGAAATAACAGAATTTCTCGGAACACCCCCACAACAATAAACTAAACCTTATTTCCATGAAGTTTGGATTTGGCTATATAAATCATTTTGCTTGGCTTTATCAGTTCTTCATTCCTCCTATTGAAAGATTTAATGTGATTATAGAAGGTCTTGTTGATTATGATCTACTTATCCCTTTTCTAATTTGTTATACTGCCTAAGTTGCCCTTCTCTTAATTATATCCACAATCATTGCCACCCTCATTCTTTGGCTTATATTCTCAGTTCTTAATTTTTTTATTCTGGGGGCACTGGCACAACAGTAAATTGTATTTTATTTTTTGATTTGGAGATTAAATGAATAACTTGCGAGAAAAGAAAAGAGATTGAAGTCCCTACTGTTTCATTATTGAAGATTAATTCAAAAAGCCAGCAGATTTTCTAATTGCCTGATGCCTGTTGAGGACTTAAAAATATCAAAGATGTTTCGTGAGAAGAAACCCTTTTCTCAATAATTTAAAATGAGAACCCCATTAAAGAGTTTATGCCTTTTCTTTTCATTTGAAGGGCTTCTTCGTGCTAGAAATGAAATATGTTGACAATCTGAAATTCTGAGTATGAAGCTTTTGAGAGTTTAAATCTTGTAATTTTCAAATTCCTTTGTTTGTCTTGCCATATGCCAATAATTCTGTTGCATTTGGAATACACGAATTATAACCCCAAATTGTCTGCAATAAGATGAATGACACGGGTGAAATCCATGAAATGGTCACAAGTGAAATGGACCCATAAAGCAATGTTGCATCTTCCATCGATGTGAAATACTTGTTGGAAATTATAATCTTGGAGTGCCATTGCTCGATACATTTTGGTATAGTTTGAATTGGACCAAAAGGTAAGGTCCAAAAAAATCAGTATATCATACCTACTATGTGATGAGGACATCGGACGTGACATCGGACGCTACTTATTTTATTTACGCTTTATTTATGCTTTATTTATCTTTTGGACTATTACTTAAGATTTGAACTTGTATGGGTTCGGGCCCAAACTTGTTAGGGTTGCTTAACTATTTAAACCTATTTTGCATTATAATTTTCAGTTGATGATGAATGAATATTTTTGGTGGCTTATGGTGTTTTCTCTCTTCTTGTTGTCTTTCTTCTCTTCTGTTGAATCCCCTTCCCTTTCCCCTCTCTAATTCTCCCTCCCCATAGATCTGTTTTATTTCTCAATTAACTGTTTCATTGGTGCTGCATCAAATTTGGTATTAGAGCCAGGTTGGGTAATGTCTTTCCTACAATCCAAATTTTCTTCTTATTTCTTCCCAAAATTTGTTGGAATAACACAAATTAAAATATTTTTAGCGCCCAAGCAGCATATTCTATTTTTCTAGTTGTCGTTCGAAAAAAAAAAGTTACTGTTCACGCTCGAAAATCCCATTAGATTCTTTCCAGCATTTTAGATTTAAAAGAAAAAAAAAATTGACGTTTTTTGCTGCTGCTAAAAATCTGTAGTGTTGTTCCATAAATTTAACCCTAGCCCATGTATTTTCAATATATAACCAACCTATCTAACCCAATTACAACAAATTTCCAAGCCCAATAACTATCAATTCCAGCCCAACTCCTTAATCCTCTCAAATCAGCTCTCACGACCCGACCCGATCCGACCCGACCCGACCCTTCCCCATCACCTCCGATTTTCTTCTTCGTCTGCCGTTCACCAACGTCAGCGACACCACTCCCTAGCACTGCCGGCGTCATCGGCGGCTCGTCTCTCACCACAACCCGTCATCCCCACTTCCTAATCTCGCAGCAATCCGGCCCATCAAGCCACCCAATACCCCGATGTCCAGTCGCTCGTCCCTACCTTGGCGTCACCGTCGCCGACTTGCACCCCAGTCGGACTTCACCACTTAGTCGGCCGACCATCAATCGGCCGGCCATTGCTCATTATCCCAGAAGCCGGCCACTTCTCGCCATTTGTGAACTGCCATTGCTCATTGATTCCATAAGCCAGCTTCTACAGTTTCAGTCATCGACATTCCACCAAAGCTGAAGTACCACTCATCTTTCATTCACATATCATTCTACAGCTTCAGTCATCTTTCAATCACAACACTTGCAACTCATACTTTTCTCCATCTACACTGGTTTCCCTCTCATACTGCCACCAACCGCTGCTATCTTAGAGTTTGACGCCGCCAATTTTGCAAAATACAACAACTTCAACAAGCAGTTGTCAAAGGATTTCGAGAAGTCAGAGACAGTTTCTTGTTCAATTGGTTGATATTTGAACCTCCTACAGTAACAGAGCCAGAGTCAAGACAGTATAATTCGCAATTCAACAGAAGTGAGTTCTGACGTGGAAGACAACTGAAACGAAGGAAGGGCCGCAAGCATATTTGGAACCCACTTGTCAACAGTTCGGGCAACTAGACGACAGGGAGTTCTTGATCTCTTTATTATTGGTTTATATTAGTTCTTCATCTTAAAATCGGATCACTTACAATATTTGTGTTGCTGTTACTTGATAATTGTGACCTTAAACCTACTCGATTGAAATTCGTGAATTTACTCCCTTTGTTCCACATTACTCCACGTGTTTAGATCTTTCGAATAGTCGTTTGTATCCTTGCTTTCTATTTTATTTGTATTAGTATTATTAGCTTGCGATCGGACCATACGTAATTCCTAAAAAAATAAAATAAAATAATAATAATAACAATAGATAAATTTCAGTCACTATTATCCTTGTTGGCACTCGTTGGTTGTTGATCTCAGTAGTGCACTTCACTTAACTTGTGTTACTGTGTATGCAATTGCGTAGTGGTCGAGTTACTGCGTCTAGCGCTAGTACCCTTACCATGGACCCTTCCCACATTGAAGCTATCACCCGACAGTTGGCACAATTACAAAACCAATTAACAGCTGTCCAAACTGAGTTAGCCGCTACTCGTGAAGAGAATAGAGCCCTAACCGCTAGGGTAAACACTCTTGACCCTACCCAATACTCAACTGAAGCTGAAAATTCTGACGCTTCCATTAATAGACCTCATCGTCGTCCACAAGGTGGTTGACACCATGCTAGACATGATGAGGGAAATCAAGCTTGTGGACGCGAGCGGGAATATCATCGTCATGGTACACTATCTCCCCCTCGCCACGAGTAGCGCCTCTTTCGAAATATTAAGTTAGATGCCCCTACATTTGATGGTTGTCTAGATCCTAGTGTATTCAATCAATGGGTTAGAGATATGAATCGCTTCTTTGCCTGGTATGGGGTCCCTGAAGATCGGAGGGTACAATTTGCCAGTTTGAAATTAACTGGCACAGCTCAACTGTTTTGGGAAAGTGTTGAGGACCTCCTAGAGAGGCGTCATGCCCCCCTGTTGGGAACTGGGATGAAATGAAGCGCCGCCTTGAAGAAAAATATTTACCTCAATCTTACAGGGGCAACTTGCTGGATCAATGGAACGCACTTACGCAAGGCAGTCGACCTGTGACCGAATATGTTGCTCAGTTTGACGAGTTTCGAATGAGATGTCAGGTCGTTGAGGATAAAGTCATGACCTTGAGTAGGTTTAGGCAAGGCCTACGAGATGATCTTAGACGTGAACTTGTTCTTAGAGGTGTCACCACTCTTGACCACGCCTACTCTTTCGTTCGGGATTACGAGTTAGTGACTAGGACACCGTGCAGAAGTCATTGTGACTCCCGCACTGCAACCTCTTCTGCATCCACTCCATCCCCTAAATCTATTCTAGGACCTCCTCCTCCTAATACTATCCCTACATCGAATAGTAAAGGTAGAGATTCTGAGGTTTCAAGAACGTCCTCTCGTTTGCAATGTTTCAACTGTAAGGGTTTTGGTCACATTGCTTCTAAGTGTCCTAGCCGAGCCCTAGTTTTGGAAGAGTGTAAGGATATAGTTGACGAGCCACTAGAGGATTAGGTTTATGAGCCTAAGTTAGAAGAGTTTGATGACTTGGAGGATAGTGAGGATACCTTCTTGGGTTGTATTCAGACTAGTCCCCTTATCCCACATACGCCTAGAGTTGGTGTTGTCCGTTGTAATCTTACCCAGCCTAGGGATGCCGATGATTGGCGTCATCATGCCATCTTTCACACTTACATCAAGATTAATAATAAGGGCTATAAAGTTATCGTGGATAGTGGCAGCTGCATTAATACGGTTTCGATGGCTACTGTATCCCATCTAGGGTTGAAGTCTGTTCCTCACCTTCAGCCATACAGCGTCTCTTGGGTTGATACCTCCTCCATAGCTGTCAAGGAGCGTTGTTTAGTCCCTATCCAATTTCTCGAGTATAAGGATCATATATGGTGTGACGTTATTTCAATGGACGTCGGGCACATCATCTTGGGACGACCTTGGTTATTTGACCTAGATGTAACCATTTATGGTCGATCCAATTCCTGCTCCTTCGTGTTTAATGGAAAGAAGATTCACCTTAACCCACTGCCCCCAAAGCCTGCTGGCCCACTGGAAACGAAGAAAAGTGTGGAACGAAAGGGATTACACATCATTAGTCCTACGGAGTTTGAGCGTACACTTGTTGGTAACTCAATTGTGTTCGTTTTGGTGGTCATGGAGGTTCCATCCCACTCCACAATAGAGAGCCCTGTTGAAGTCTTGTTGTTCCTCCTAGAGTTTCGAGACATCTTTTCGGAGGACCTACCTGACCATCTACCTCCACTAAGGGATATTCAACATGCCATAGATTTCGTCCCAGGGGCATCCCTCCCAAATTTGCCTCATTATAGGATGAATCCTACCGAGCACGCTGAACTTCAAAAGCAAGTGGATGACCTTCTTCACAAAGGATTCATTCGTGAGAGTTTAAGTCCGTGTGCTGTCCCCGGCCTATTGACGCCCAAAAAGGATGGTTCTTGGAGGATGTGTGTGGACAGTCGTGCGATCAATAGGATTTCGGTGAAGTATCGTTTATGATGGTTGGTGCCACAATCTTTTCGAAGATTGATCTGAAGAGTGGATACCACCAGATTCGAATTCGCCCCGGTGATGAGTGGAAGACCGCGTTTAAAACGAAAGATGGTCTTTATGAATGGCTGGTCATGCCTTTTGGGCTAAGTAATGCGCGAAGCACCTTTATGCAAGTAACGACACAAACTCTCCGACCTTTCATGGGAAAGTTTCTTGTTGTCTACTTTGATGATATCCTCATCTATAGTAAGACTAAGGAGCAACACCTTGATCAGCTCACACAAGTTTGCTCTACCCTTCGTGCAACTAATCTATATGCTAACATCAAGAAGTGCTCTTTCTTCACCTATACAGTCGTTTTTCTGGGATTCATTGTCTCTTCGGCAGGGGTATCTGCAGACCCTGCTAAGGTTCAGGCGATTATTGACTGGCCTGAGCCTACAGCTATTCATGACATCAGGAGCTTTCACGGTTTAGCTACATTTTACCGTCGCTTTATTAAGGGATTTAACACTATTATGGCACCTATTACGGAGTGCATGAGGAAAGGAGAGTTTCATTGGACACAAGAAGCGGCTAAGGCCTTTAAGTTGGTCAAGAAGCGAATGACGAAGGCTCCTGTCATGCGTCTTCCCGATTTTTCCAAAGTCTTTGAAGTTGAATGTGACGCCTCCGGGGTAGGTATATGTGGAGTCTTAAGTCAGGATCGTCACCCTGTTGCCTACTTCAATGAAAAGTTAAATGAAGCCAAACAGCGGTACTCAACTTATGATAAGAAACTGTATGCAGTGGTCCAAGCTTGCGCTATTAGCGCCACTATTTATTACCCCAGGAATTTATCCTTTATTCGGATCACGAGGCCCTCCGTTACCTCAACTCCCAGAAAAGATTAAGTTCTAGGCATGGTCGTTGGGTCGAATATTTGCAGGCCTATTCATTTGTTTTAAAACACAAGAAGGGCGTCGAAAACCAAGCAGCTGATGCATTAAGTCGTCGTGTCTCCCTTTTGTCGATCATGAGTGTCAAGGTCATCGGTTTTGAAAGACTTAAGGAGGATTACGAGGCATGTCCCGATTTTAAAGATATCTTTCTTGATTTACAAAGGAGACAATCAGGTACCACAGATGGCTTCCGACTTGAAGAGGGTTATCTCTTTATGGTCAATAAATTGTGCATCCCTCGTACTTCAGTGCGAGATTTCGTCGTGTGGAAAATTCATGCGGAGGGTTAGCCGGTCACGTTGGACGTGATAAGACCATTGAGGAAGTTGAACGTCAATTCTATTGGCCTAACTTGAAGAAAGACGTGGCTAAGATTATTAGTACTTGTAATACTTGTCAATTGAGTAAGCAGAAGAAGCAGAACACAGGTCTATACACCCCCCTCCCTGTCCCCAATTGTCCTTCGCACGATATTAGTATGGATTTTGTGTTGGGACTTCCACGCACCACAAAGAAACATGATTCCATTTTTGTGTTTGTTGATCGCTTCTCAAAGATGGCTCATTTTATCCCCTGTAGCAAGACGTCGGATGCGTCCAAAGTTGCCATGTTATTCTTTAATGAAACTGTCAAATTGTATGGGCTTTCCAAAACCATCGTGTTTGATAGGGACGTTCGTTTCACTAGCCACTTTTGGAGAACTTTGTGGCATAAGATGGATACCAAATTGAAATTTTCTACGGCCTACCACTCTCAGACTGACGGTCAAACTGAAATAGTTAATCGAAGTCTTGGTAACCTATTACGTTGTCTGGTCCGGAAAAACCTTCGAAATTGGGATTTGATCCTTCCTGTAGCTCAAATTGTGTATAATAGCTCTATAAATCGTTCATTAGGTATGAGTCCATTTGAAGCCGTTCATGGGTACAAGCCTAGAAAATCATTAGATCTCATCCCTATGTCCCCTCAGGCTAGAGTGTCAGTATCAGCCGAAGCATTTGCACATCATCTTCGTGACTTGCATATTGAGATCAATAAACAACTTGAAGCTATTAATGCAAAGTATAAACTCCAAGCTGATTTACACAAACGACATATTGAGTTTCACATTGGGAATTACGTTATGGTTCGCATTAGGCCAGAGCGGCCTCTACATGGATCCTCCTCCAAATTGCAAGCTCGTAGTGTTGGTCCTTTTAAAATTTTAAAGCAGATTGGTCCAAATGCATATATTGTTGACATTCCACAACACCTTGGTTACCACTCTACTTTCAATGTTGAGGACCTTGTAGCTTATAAAAGCCATTTCATTCCCTCAGATGATCTTCTGTCACCTCCTTGTGTGGACCTTGATCCTGATTCTTTGGCCCCTTCTAACCTCCTACCACCTCTCACAGTACACAAAGAAAAAATTGATGCTATTTTAGATGAAGAAACTGTGTTCACTAATGATGGAGAGGTTCAGCACTTCCTTGTTCGTTAGGTTGGTCGACCAGATTTTGACTGTGCATGGATCTCCAGGGAGACACTACAGCAATTGGATCCAAATTTATTGGAGTTTTATCGGAGTCAGCAAATCTTCCTTCGCCCAGATCGCCTCCCGTCCACCCGAGGGGAGTTGGTGAGGACACCAGATTCAGACCTCCATTGACACATTTTTACAGACGTCGAAAGAAATTTGCCCAACCACTCAGCTTATGGTTGGGAGATTGATGACAGCCTAGAGTGATATATCCACTCGACAGGGTCGACTTTTCTCCTACCCCGGGAGAGTCGATGAGGAAATCGGACGCTACTTATTTTATTTACGCTTTATTTATGCTTTATTTATCTTTTGGACTATTACTTAAGATTTGGACTTGTATGGGCTCGAGCTCAAACTTGTTAGAGTTGCTTAACTATTTAAACCTATTTTGTATTATAATTTTCAGTTGATGATGAATGAATATTTTTGGTGGCTTATGGTGTTTTCTCTCTTCTTGTTGTCTTTCTTCTCTTCTGTTGAATCCCCTTCCCTTTCCCCTCTCTAATTATCCCTCCCCATAGATCTGTTTTATTTCTCAATTAATTGTTTCATTGGTGCTGCATTACTATGCTTCCACTTCGAAAGCTTTAATGTTACATTTGCTTGAGATTAGCCACAAGAGGCTCAGTGGTGATATATATTTTGTGTTTGTGTGTACTTGATTGTATTGTCCTTGACATTCCAGGTAATTGGCTATCCTGTGATGTCTCTCCTATTAATTTATTTTTCACTTAACCTTATGGGTGTAATCTGTTTGAACAGTGAGCTCTGGAGAACAGTAAAACACATTGGTGTGCACAACTAAAAACTGACACCTTCCAATTACTTCTTTTTAGAATTTAATTTCAATGAAACAACACCATTTGAGGAATAAGGGAGTTTTTTCATTCACGTGAGGAAATGAGCTGATAAATGAACCAAGTTACTAGAAGCTTAGTTTGAAATAGTTTCTCTGTGGCTGGTAAGTGATCTGTTTGTTAGACTAATGATTGAAGCTAGAATTTTAGAATGAGAAGGTTTATCATTCTTCGATCAGCCGTTGCTTTTTAAATAAGCTAAAAAGTAAGAAAATAAATGAAAATGCACATAGTTACTGAACTCGGCTAAAGCTCATTTTAGATTAGTTCATTAGTAAGGTTTACAAAAGATTTCTAAAAGTTGTTATGGACTCTATCAAAGCATAAACGACCTATTCCTCAAATTGAATTGACTTGTCTGCACTGCAATGGGGAATTCTAGCAGAACTACTCTGTGTACCTCATTTTTGTCTTTATGGGCATAGATTTTTTTAATGTGCCGAAAAAAAGCCACCTTATGTTATATCCTTCACAACAGAGAGAGATGAAATTCCATGAAAAGGTGATTTGTGAACAGTCAACACCCCAATTGTAAGAATTGTTGAGAATTTGTATTAAACAAATTTGCCTTGTGTTGAGGTTCAGGGTTGATGATCCTCAGCATCTTTACCCTGGTATCCAACTCTATCACAAATATCTGTTCACAATTGAAGTTCGAGGAGAATAAAGTGTTGGGTTTAAAAAAAAAATGAGACCATTCTTCCCTGGTGTGATTTCATTATGTCAAGTCTGCTGTTTAAATACATTAGAGGTTAGCCAAAAGAGATGAAATGGTACTTTCCATATGATTCCACTTAGTTGTGGTATCCTTTGGATGGATAGAAGTTAGCAAACCTCGCATGATCTTGGACATAACCCATACATACCTAACTGCTTCAGAAGTATCAAACTGATGTGAAAATTAAAATTTGGGGGAATGGTCTCATTTGTCAACAAAATTTATACTTCCACCACTCATATCTTCACACTTGTGAGATATCTTTATTCTGATATTGGATACACATTGGTTCCTTATTTTCTGCTTTGGTTGTGCCCAAGTTTGGGCATATGCATCTACATTTAACACAGCTACTCATGCAGAATATACAAGATTATATCATAAAGCAGTCAAACCTAGTTTCGCCTCCATTTAGGAGCTGTTATGCTATCACCAATTGCTTGACTTTGCTCTGATCATTCCCAATCCAAGCGTGAAGTGAACAAGTAGGAACACTCTCAGTCACTTACTGTGTATAGTTTTTTGAGCTGGATCAGTGCAATACAAGAAATACCCAGTTTCTGATGTGATTCTATTTCCAGGAAATTCTGTTGAATTTTGAAATATTTTCAGTGGTTTAATGTGCTCGACTTAGTCTTGCATTCCATTACTTCCACATTTGAAAATGTTTATTTGTGCTTCTATACTGCTTTTGCTATAAGATTGGGCATTTTTTTAATATGTCTTACATGTTAAGTGAACAGTGCTGTATTTAATTTCAGTCAATAATACATACATATATGCTTTAACAGGCTAGGTTTGATGGTAATGGGAGGCCTTATTTTGGCATCCTTTATGACATATGCTGCAGAGCACCTCTCAGTAAGAACATTTATGAGGGGCTATGAAGACAGGGATGCACAAAGAACCAGGAACATATGTTCTTTCTGTTAGTATTAGCCTACTTTTCATGTTATTAGCTAACCGTTATTGGCAGCTATTCTTGTTTTGTCTGTAATTTGTTTTAAACATATTCTTCCCTATATTTAATTGTAGAATATTGTGGAAATTTTCCATTCTAGAGCTGTTCCTTTTGAGTAGGCTGGTCGTAATTTTCATGGGATAACAATCTTTATTCCACTGTCAGTTGTAATTTAAGCTCGTTACAAGCAACTGGGTAGATTTCACCTTGAAACTGACATCCAAGGGAGGATGCTCAATGTGTTTATAAGTCAACACATCAAGCATCCAGTCTGTACCTTCGGAATCGACGTCTATGGCAGCCCATTTCTCAATTAGATGACTCAGCCGAGGCAGTCTTCTACTTTTGTAGTCATCTCCAGGTGCACCATCTCAAATGAGGGTTCATCCAAGAAAGGGTGCCTGCTATAATCACAGGCACTTGGGTAGAAATCACTCTAAAAATTGGCTCGTAAGTGAAGATTACCCGATATGCTTATAAGTTCACAAGGCTGCCTTGGAGCCTTTCTCCAGCTGATTGGAACTTGAAGTAGCTTTTATTTGGTGATTTTCTGTTTTACAATTTTTTAATCAAAAAATTGTTCTAGCTTTAAGAATGTTGTATGCAATGCTAAATTATTAATGTATCAAGTGAAAATACTCCTGTCTCCTGCCATTCTAGTTGCTAGAAATTATACTATGGTTGGTTAATTTTCTATAATGTGTGTAAACTTTTCTTCCTTCTACTGGGAATTTTGTACTTCAATAAAGAGAACTATTAAGCCAATTCGGTTCTCATTAAAATTGGGTCGAATCGCACTATACTCACCCCTAAATATATCATTAGTTGATGTAACTCTGGTTTTGAGATCCAGAAAGTTGAGGATGGTTATGTTGAAGAGGTATTTTAAA